ACGCTGGGCTGTCCAGGCCAGGCAGGAAACATCGTCAAGGAATTGCGCTGGCGAAGCAGGGGCTGTTCAGGCCACAGCGGGCAGTGTTGGAATCGGCAGCGCCGACGAAATCGGCAAAGTCGGCAGAATCGGCAGCAGGTGCTGAAGATGAGTCTGGACTGTTTATAGTCCTAGGCTTGACGAAAAAGACTGGGGGCCTAGGCTCACGCTGGGGCAGGGGCAGCGGCAGCGATGCCAACAGTGGGAAAAATCGGCAGCGCGGATTTGTGCAGCTGGAAGCCCGTCGGGGAAAATCGGCAGCGCATATTTTTTGACGAACATGGGCTGGACGCTGGGCTGTCCAGGCCAGGCAGGAAAAATCGTCAAGGAATTGCGCTGCCGAAGCAGGGGCTGTTCAGGCACAGCGGGCAGTGTTGGAATCGGCAGCGCCGACGAAATCGGCAGAATCGGCAGCAGGTGCTGACGATGAGTCTGGACTGTTTATAGTCCTAGGCTTGACGAAAAAGACTGGGGGCCTAGGCACACGCTGGGGCAGGGGCAGCGGCAGCGATGCCAACAGTGGGAAAAATCGGCAGCGCGGATTTGTGCAGCTGGAGGCCCGTCGGGGAAAATCGGCAGCGCAGATTTTTTGACGAACATGGGCTGGACGCTGGGCTGTCCAGGCCAGGCAGGAAACATCGTCAAGGAATTGCGCTGGCGAAGCAGGGGCTGTTCAGCCACAGCGGGCAGTGTTGGAATCGGCAGCGCCGACGAAATCGGCAAAGTCGGCAGAATCGGCAGCAGGTGCTGAAGATGAGTCTGGACTGTTTATAGTCCTAGGCTTGACGAAAAAGACTGGGGGCCTAGGCTCACGCTGGGGCAGGGGCAGCGGCAGCGATGCCAACAGTGGGAAAAATCGGCAGCGCGGATTTGTGCAGCTGGAAGCCCGTCAGGGAAAATCGGCAGCGCAGATTTTTTGACGAACATGGGCTGGACGCTGGGCTGTCCAGGCCAGGCAGGAAAAATCGTCAAGGAATTGCGCTGGCGAAGCAGGGGCTGTTCAGCCACAGCGGGCAGTGTTGGAATCGGCAGCGCCGACGAAATCGGCAGAGTCGGCAGAATCGGCAGCCGGTGCTGACGATGAGCCTGGACTGTTTATAGTCCTAGGCTTGACGAAAAAGACTGGGGGCCTAGGCACACGCTGGGGCAGGGGCAGCGGCAGCGATGCCAACAGTGGGAAAAATCGGCAGCGCGGATTTGTGCAGCTGGAGGCCCGTCGGGGAAAATCGGCAGCGCAGATTTTTTGACGAACATGGGCTGGACGCTGGGCTGGCCAGGCCAGGCAGGAAAATTCATCGAGGGGATGCGCTGACGAAACAGGGGCTGTTCGGACACAGGAGGCAGTGCTGGAATCGGCAGCGCCGACGAAATCGGCAAAGTCGGCAGAATCGGCAACGTCGGCACAATCGGCAGCAGGTGCTGACGATGAGTCTGGATGGACGGACTGCATATGACCCGGCTGCCCGCAACGAGTCATTCAATTCTCTGCCCTATCAACATAACTCCCGATGTGTTGTTCGCTATCTTGGAAGAAGAGATCTCTTCCTCCCCGGGATGGCCGGGTGCGATTACCCGGCGGCGTCATTCAAATCGCTGCCCTATCGGCTACAACTGCTGATGGGGGGATTAGAGGCCTGCCATGGTGGTGAGGGGAGGCGAAGACCGTGAAAGCAAGAGCTTTCCCGGGGCTCCTCCGTTGGCCGCGGCATGCGAGCTGCCGGTTTTCCCGCATTCCGCCAAGAAAACGTCGTGCTTCCCACATGAAATCAATCCAGTAAAACCAGCCATATTTTTGTGAGGCTGCCAGCTGAATTTGGGGTCATTCCGGGCTGGTCACTATTTTTGCGTATTTCCTTGATTTTTAACGGTAGGAAAATAAACAAAAATACTTCCCGGCCACGAAAAAATCCGGGATTATTTCTGGAGGTGGATTGGATTATTGCCAACCTATGTGCAAAATTTCAGCTCAAAATACTAAGAAATGAATTTTTTAGAGGGGGGGTGACAGCTGGGACCTAGTAGTGTCTACCCCTGCCAGAGCTGCAATAACACTTATAGCTCTTTAGGGGGGTGCCCCCCGACTGGCCATGGGGCGCGCTGGCTGGCGCCCATAGGCCTGCCGCGGGGGATTTGCGAGCTGCCGCTATGCTAGGACTAACGTGGGGGGCCTCACGGCCCGAAGTAACGCCGCCATCGATGACCCGTTTTCCGGCCGGCGACGACCCGATTCCGGCCAGCGTCCCTATAAAAATCACACGCGCGCGCGCGCGCCGCCCGCGCCTGCGCCGCGCTGGGGCGCTGGGGCCTGGGGGCCTGGGGCCTGAGGGCCTGGGGCCCTTGGGGGCCCTTGGGCGCTTGGGCGCGCGCGCGCGCGGCAATGATTCCCACGCAGCCATGCTGCGCTGCGCAACGGGGGCTGACGCGGGGACAGCCCCTGCTGGCTTGCTATCTTGCCTGCGGG